CATTAATAAAATGCCACAAACTGGGTGGGTTTAAAAATAAAAATGTAGAGCTGGGCATGGTGGTGCATGTCTGTAATCCCAGCACTTGGGAGGGTGAGGTAGGAGGATTTCTGTCAGTTCAAGGCCAGTCTGGACTACATAGTGAGTTCAAGCCCAGCCTGCCTGAACTGCATTGTGAAACCCTGTCCAAAAAAAAAAAAAAAAAAAGTGACATTTAGGCTGGGGATATAGCTCAGCAGCACAGCGCCTGCCTGGCAAGCACAAGGTTCTGAGTTGGATAGCTGGTAAAAAACAAAAAACAACAAAAAACAAAAAAAAATTATTCCCTCACAATTTTGGAATCTTACAGTGAAAACCCAAGCTGCTGGCAGGGTTGTTTCCATTTTACCGACTCTAAGGGAGACGGCTCCTTGCATCTCTCCTAGCTTCTGGGGTTGGCTGTCAAGACCTGGTGTTCCTTGGCTTGTGGACACATCGGGCTGATCTCTGAGTCCATTTTCATGTGGAACCCTCTCTGTGGGTATCTGTGCCTTAACCTGGGGTAGTCAGCTTTCTGTAACTAAGAAAACACCCAAACACCTCCAAAAAGGAAAGGCTTCTAATAGCGTTTTATGGCTCCTAGTTCAGAGGTTTCTGTTGGTGGTTGGTTGGCCCTGTCACTTTTGGGCCTGTGGGGAAGTAGGGTACCATGGTGGGAGTACACTGAAGGCAAAACCATTCATGTTGTGGCTGGGTTGAAAAAAGAAAAAGAGGAAAGCATGGGGCCGCACTATCCCCTCGAAGACTATGATCCTAATACCTAGAACACCTCTCCCTAGACTCCACCTCACTTCCCAATAGGGACCAATAGCCCCAGTAGGGACCAGGCCTTTAATACACGAACCTGGGAAAACACTCCAGTTCTAAACTATAGCACATGGCCTTATAAGGACACCAGTCACTGGATTTAGGGCCCACCCTATTCTAGTATGACCTCATTCACCAAATTACATCTGCAAAGACCTTATTTTAGAATAAAGTCATTGTTCCAAAGACCGTGTTTTGGAATGAGGCTCTGGATGGACATGAATTTGGAGAGGACACTTTTCAGTCCAAGCACGTCAGCAGTCCTGACTATAACCTCAGCAATGGCAGCACTGGGGTTGTCCCTAATGCATTATAAATCCCTTTATCACGAGGATTAAAGACAAGGGAAGAGGTCAAGAAAGGAAAGGCTTTAAACTCACACCCTGCTGAAAAACATTTGACTCAACAAGTTTTGTGGAGGCCCCCGGAGAACAAAGAGGAAGATTTTGCTGACTTCCCGTTGCTTGGAGAAAACAGAGGAGCAGTTCTTTGCAGAAGAAAACATTCTTAGACGTGGATAATGAAAGTGAACTCATGGAAACACAAGGGTTGGATCACAGCTAATTTAGGCAAGAAAACAGTGCAGTGAATATTACGCAACCTATAAAATTGTCTTTAAGAGAGTTCTTAAGGACATGGGAAAATGCTTATGCTGTAACATGAAACAAAAGAGCCAAGATTCAAAATTGTATTTGCAACATGAGCTCAACTATGCAATAAAGAGGAAACGTTCCCAGAAAACAACACCGGTGCCAACTGTGAGGTGGGGAAGTGGAAGCAGAGGGCAATTGCCTTTTATCTTACGTGTTTTTGGTTTGATAATGTTGCACTTTTTAAAAATAAAGTCTCTGTTTGAGGACCATTTTAGACTCACAGAAAGTTGCGGAGGTTATAGAGAGTGCCTATATATCTGGTTCCTGGTATCCTCTGTTGCTAATGTCTTACATTTACCACAGCTGATTCAGGACTGATTCATTATTACTAACTAGCGTTCACATTTTAATGTGATTTTAAAAGTTTTCATCTAATGCCATTTTTCTGCTCCAGGATCTCATCCAGGGCACTACACTATGTTTAATGTCTTCTTAGGATCCTCTACCTTGTGCCATTTTTTTCTGTTTTCCTTGTTTTGGATCACTTTGGCAGTTTGGAAGTAGACTGGCCAGTATTTTGTAGAATATGCCTCAATTAGAGTTTGTCTTGTATTTTTCTCATAATTACACCAGAGTTATAGCTTTTTGGGAAAAAAAAAAACCCACAGAAATTAAGTGCTATTCTCATTGCATTATACCAAAAATATATTACTTTTGTACTGAAATATATTTTTAAGTATGCCAGAAAACTAAGAGTACTTGACTCTGGGTGGTGCATTATGGATATTTTCTTACTATTTTTTTCTTTATAATTTTCTGTAATCCTGTAAAATAAATTTTATAATTAGGAAAAGATTTTTTTAAAAAAAGGGTACATTCAAATTTATTTTAATTTAATTTTTTTTTTTTTTTTTTTTGAGACAGGGTTTTGCTATGCTGTTCAGACTGGCCTTGAATTCACTTTGTATCCCAGGCTGGCCTCAAACTAGCAGCAGTCCTCCTGCCTCAGCCTCCCAATTGCTGGGATTACAGGCATGCTCCATCTCACCCCACTCAAGTTTATTTTAAAAGGAAACACATTATTACTGTCCAGGAAGAGATATCACTAGAGAGGGGGACTTGGGATCCCCAGGGGAGGCCCTCTTCAGAGCCCTGCTCTGTCACCCCAGAGAGTGGACTGCAAGGGTACCTGTCCCCGCTGCAGACTGCACACCAGAGACACCTGGACAGATTGTCTTGTTGGACAGCTGGACTATTTGCCAACTATTCTGTCTACATGCTTAAGAATTATTATTTGTAAAAATCCTACTGTAAATACCCAGGAAGGGCTGCAGCTGTGCATGGCTGTGGGGCTGGGGAGGGAGGGAGGTGTGCAGGGCCTGTATCTGGCTGGCGCTGGAAGGGAAAGTGTCAAATTGATGGGGAACACACCAGGGCCTGGCTCTGCGCTGGAAGCAGTCAAGATTACTAATGGAAGGACAGAAAGTAACAGCAACAAAAGGGAGCAAGGGCCGGGGCTGGAAAGACAGCTCTAATGAGAACATGGAGATGCATTCCAGGCAAAAGGGTAACCCAAAAATGTAAGCAAGCCTGAGGCTGAGATTAGTTATAGCCAAATAAGTCATGCAGGCCTCGGAGGGTGCAGGCAGCTGGTGGAGCGCGGGGCATCTCTGCCTCTCTGAGTCTGGTGACGAGAGGCTTTGTATAAATACTGACTTTTTAGGGAAGACATGGAAGAGCCTGTCTCTTTTTCCACTGGAAGGATTAAGAAGAGTTTATTGATTTTTAAACAGACTGTTTCTAATCAGGGCTTATTTTTAGCTCTAATAAGGCTCTCTTCTTTTTTTTAATTGGGTGCAGTGAAAAGAATTTAGTGTCAACCTCTGGGTAAAATATGTGTAATTGCTTTGGAAGATGATACAGTGAAACAAAAACTAGATCACATGCAACTCCCAAGACACTGGGCCCTCAAGGATATTCTCTTAAAGCATAGTCAGCTTTTGCCCCCTGACTCCCAGCTCTGGGCTTAGCATGAAGATGGCTGGGCAGGTGGATTGGAGTCCATACAGTGAGTATGCGATGATAACTTCCAGAGAAAACAATCTGTCAGTCACCATTAGAAACCTCTATTTATCCTTTGAGACCCAAACTAAGGGTCCTGCGAAATCTTCTCCATTTCCAGCATTATGGCAGCTCCGTCCTCTGCCTCCACTGTGGAATGTTGTTTTAGTTACTGCAGTTATCCCACTGTACTACCATCACTCATGTATGGCTCTGCTCCCCCCGAAGACTTAGGTCTTTGAGAGCAGAAGCTGTAATTTATTCTCATTTTGTGTTCCTTTCTCCTTCAGAGTAGCTCAGTTACTGGAAGACAGTGGGCCAGTGAAGGGAGACCTGAGAGGCAGGATCTCAATAACCAAATGGGTTGGATTCAGGGGCTATAGGAGGTGAGGGGGATCAGGCAGCTCAGGGGCCACAGCAGGGAATGCAGGTGATTGAACTCCAACCAACCTTTATTCCTGCTCTTCTCTCCAAGAAATTCTCTGCTCCCAGAGTGTTTGAGGGTCTAACCCATCTTTGAAGACTATGAAGGGAAAGAAAGGCTGAAAGGAGATTTATTTCATTTTTCAATGCTAGACCATTCAAAATTCTCCCTACTAGCTGTTTTGAAATACTCAATTAGTTGTTGTTGACCATAGTCACCCTGTTGTGCTATAAAGGATCAAGGGTTGTCCTCCTACCCACCTGCACCCCTGTCCTGTGTGTTTCTTGCTGGCCATCTTGTTCTTCCTGGTCTGTCTTCTCAGATTGGGATTCTGGGTAGGTAGGTCATCTAAGAGCTACATCTTGAGGACCACTTGTCACCTGGGGCTCCTGAGCTGGTTCCCCCTCTCCAGGTGGGAACCTGCTGCCATCTTGGGACCTAAATTAGGCTTGAGAGCTGGCCTTCTGTTAATGACCAGACATTTAGTTACCTTCCTGTCACCGGGACAAAATTACTTGACACTCACAACCTAAAGGAGGAGAGGTTTATCTGGCTCACGATTTCCAGAGGGTTCAGTCCAAAGCCAGCTGGCTCCAAGGCTGAAGTGCATGGCAGAGGCCAGCTGCTCACCCCAAGGCAGGCAGGAAGCAGAGAGAGAAGGGAGGAGCCAGGGAGGAAGATGTATCCTTCCAGGTCTCAGTCCCAGTGACCCGCTTCTCACCAGCACATTCAGCTACTAAACTCATCCACAAATAAGGATAGCACCCCTGTAATTCAATCACCTGCCACACACAGGAGACTTTTGGGGGACATTTTAGATCCAAACCATAACACGAACCTTTCACCTCTTGCTGCACATGGTAGCCAGAGCCTGGTCCCTTTCTGCTACCTTCCCTGTTCTGCCAAAGAAATACTGAGGTTGTGCTCCAGTTTGGGGTTTTGACAGATTGCTTTTATATTTTGTCTTGCCTTTACTTACATTCAGGGGATATTTTTCCCATGAGATTTCTCCTGTTCCCTAAACCCATCAATATTTTGAGAGCATCCTGCTCAGAAAATCTCTGCTCTAATTTCAGATTTACGGAGGACCCACAGAACAATGACAATAATCTGAATGAATAGCAAGTGTGCACGGTCTGCATCCTATGGGCCCAGCACCACGCTAAGTGCTTTGCCAGTGGCTTGTGAGGTTTGTCTTTCCTCTTGCATGGATGAGGAAACTGAGACTCAAGAGGCGAACCCAGGGTGGCGCAGCTTGTGGATGACACCATGAGGACTCCGACCCTGCCCAAAGCCGTGCTTGTAACCCCAGGGACACAGGTGGGTGCTCCACAGAGCAAACGGAGACACAACCGAGCACCCACATTCACAAGGACGGTGTTGCATACATCTGAAGCTTTTATTCCATATCCAAGTTACACGTTATTTTTTCCCTCTGGGAAATCCGGAGGGCCCAGGTCACCTTCGGTTCCTTCTCCAGCCTTTTGCCGCTCATCCTGAAAGCACTGTGCCAGGAACTGTGGGAACTGTAGAGAACAGTCAGCCGTAGATCCTGCCTTCAAAGCGTTTTAATCTAGGTGATAAATGAGAGTGAAATGTAAGTGCTGAATGAAGTGCTAAGCAAGTTTCCTTTTGGCTGCATAAATGTGAGTTGACTCATTATTCTGCCAAACAGCTCAGGTCTGAGCAGCCCTTGAGTTCAACACCTAACCCTTAAGACGAGGAACTTTGTTTTCTTCATTTTAAAGGGCAAGATAAGGCTTGAAGGCTGGGTGAGGCTGTCACTGTCAACCGCCATGTTCTTTTATGGTCACAGTAATCTACGCCTGCCCAGAGATTCGGAGAGGAGGGTAAATTTAGGTTTGGTCACTGTGGGAGCCATTCCATGGCCTAGTCCTTCTGGCCTGCTGTGGAATGACTGGTTCAGTTTAGGAAACTTTGATTGATGGTCTACAAGGAACTACACAGGATGCGAGGTAAGACTGGGTGATTAATGTGAAAGACAGGGCTCTGAGAAGGAGGAATTTATCTTGGAGGGAGGACAGATGGGTCTATAAAAGCAAGTCTTACCATGACAGAGGTCTGTGTGAGGTTCTCTGGGAGCCTGGAGAAAGGCCTTAGTCCAGCACTGGGGTGTGATGTAGTTGTGTGTGTCTACATGTGTATTTGTGTATGTGTGTGTTGTGTGAGTGCCTATGAAGGTGCATGTGCTTGTATATGTGTCTATGAGTGTGTTTGAGTGTTGCTGTGTATATGAGTATCTACGTGTGTCTGTATATATGAGCTTGAATGTGTGTCTTTACATGTGTGTCTGAGCATCTATGTGCATCTATGTCTACATGTACGTCTATATGTGTGTGTGACTACATCTGAGTGTCTATATCTACTTATATGTCTACTTGTATGCTGATGTATGTGTCTGTGTCTGAGTCTGTATGCATGTTCATTTCTCTGTGTGTATTTGCTTTAAGAATGAGATGACTGACCTAAATCTTTATATTTTTCCATTTTGGTGCTGAGTGTCACACCCAGGGCCTTGCTCATGTTAAGCATGTGCCTTCTACTCTGAGAGTCTCTGCCCTCACTTTGCAGGTACTGAGGACCCGCGGCTCTACCACTATCTATACCTCCAATCCTTATCCAAACCATGAAAGGACATTCTGTGTGAAGAAAAGGGCCTGGACAAGTTCACTAAGATGATAAATGATGCCAAAGACCCAACCTGGGAGATGTCGGGAGATGAGGTGGAGGGCAGGTAGGACTTAGGGCTGGGAGTCCATGGAGGCTGACGGAAGACCTCAAGTTTATCCTGCTGTAGGTGGGACCCCTGGAAGCAGGGAACCACGTGACCGGCCATCACTCTGACTACAGCCTGGAGGCCACATGATGGGGCCAGGGTGGTGCTGGGAACAGTAATTGGTCACCAGGGGCCCAACCCAGAGAAAAGCCACCAGTGCCCGAATTCTAGCAGGAGAGAAAATGATGAAGGAAGACAGTTCGACACCGTCCTCCATTCCTGCACCTACTTGGGACCTGGCCATCTCCAACTCACGCTGCCTTCCCCTTGCTTGCCTTTCTGCTTCCAGCTCCTCAGCCTTCCAGACACATCAGCCTCCTGAAAGCCTCTCCTCAGACACTGAGGTGAATAAATTCAGGGAGGCAGAAGGCCACATGGACAGTGGAGCAGAGGCAGAGCCTGCCAAGCGCCTTCCCTTCCAAGGTCCTTATCCGATCACCCTGGAGCTCCTGTCACTCTTCACAGTTTATTATGTCCAGCTCCTCCTCAGCTAGCCTAACTGAATTGCAGACTGAGACACTGAGGAGGGAGTTCAGTCATCCAGCTGCAGATGGGTTCTGTTCTAACTCCGGTGAAATTTAAGATCAGTGGGCATTGCAGTGAGCCTGCTCTGTCAGCGCAGCCCACTGCAGACACTGGGATGAGTAGGATAATCGCTCCATCCTGTCCTGTTAAATCCACAGGCCAGTAGGAGCACAGAGGGACTGGCTCTGCTCCCAGGGGACAGGGATCTCTTACCTGTGTCAGCAGTTAGCATGCATTCTGGGCTGTTCCTTGAACCTGTTGATGGTTATTACCACTCTCTGCCTTTTTCTTTAGGGCCCTCTGAAAGTGAGGGTCCCTATAAAGCTTCTAAGATATTACAGTCTGCTGAGGGTTCTTGCTGAATTCATGTAGAAATCATAAATTGGCCATGTGCAGCTCCTTCAGTGTTAGCAACTCAGAACTTCGAGTGCTAGTGGCTAACAACTCTTTTGTTATTAGCGGCCCTCCCAGTACTCAGAAGAGCCAGTGGCTACCAGCAGGCCTTGCGAACTCTTCCTGCCACCAAAGATGGCAGCTCCCAGCTTCTCCGTCCCTCTCCATCATCTTTTCTCTACTGCTAGTCACCCTCAGTGTTACCAGCCTCTGCTGCTGGACACAGTTGACACCAGGGGCGTCTGGTGTTACCAGTTTTTAGCGCACAGCTCAGCATCCTCTACTCAAGAAAGAGATCGTGAATAGGAAGAACATCCAGAAAGAGGCTTTATTAGGACTCACTCTGCACGAAGGGGTACAGTGGGTGGACTCACTTGCTGAGGAGAATGGGAAGATGACTTACATAGGAAAAATAAAAGGGTGAACTTGCTCATGCAATATCAAAGTTTTAATTTGGTCATGGGTAGAAGAGGGGCCCTTTGGGAACCTAACTGAGGAAGGCTGCAGGGGGTGGAATTATCCCAAGATCTACAGGATACAGTCACCTGAGGTAGGTCCATGTTGAAGCCTGCTGCAGCCAAAGCAATACAGTATCTCTTGGAGCAGCTTAAGGTTGCCCAGTGTAGCTGGGGCACCTGGCTGCAAGGCACCTGGGGCGGCTGGCAAAGAAAAATAAAAATTATTTCTTAGTTTTGGGCCCTTCTCTCCTGACTCATCTGCACTGGATTGAAAATGGTGAGTGTTCTGCAGGAAACGATAAGAACATTCCAAGCTGAGGAGACAGCATGGCCATGGTGGGTAACTGAGATGTGCTGGGGACTGGGAGAAATTGGGTGGACAGGAAGCCTGGATCGTGGGGAGCTGTGAGTAAAGAAGCAATGGGTAAAGTAGCTGGAGCCAACCCTGGAAACCATGCACTGGGGTTTGGGGCTGGCCCACCAGCGATTGAAAGTCATCTATTTTGCTTAGGCATGATGCGTTTTGTGTTGTAGGAAGAAACTAGAGAGACCGCATAGAGAGGGGTGATGAAAATTGGTCTGGAAGCTGTCCTATGGCAATGAGACAGAGAGGAAGGGACAGCTTCAAGAGTCACTTGGGACACGTTAGGAGGTATCAGAGTAAGTACAGTATGATAGAAAACTTGTGAAAACAGGTGCCTACAACACACTGTGCTAGCAAACCTGAGGCTAGGTGGTGCTCCATGGATTGCCTTCTAATATCTTAGGCGAAATGAGGACAGAATCACTTAAGGATTTGGCAGAAGGCAAAAAGAGATTGATGAGGGGTATGGGCGGAGACGTGGCTGATGTGCCCAGATGCAGGGCTGCTGGGTTTTTTCAAGGTCTGCAGTGGTGCCATTGGTGCCAGCCACTGTCTGCTGTAGAAAGTGAGGCTCTCACTCTAGACCCCTGCACCGGGCATTTTTGGAAGACTTGTTGAATGAAAGCATATGATGAGTGGGACGCTAGAAGGACATCAAGGTAGACAGCAAGATGGACAGCATCCTGAGGGCATTTGAAGGTAGAGACATGGGAGATCACCCAGGGAGGCCCCCAAACAGAAATCCAAGGATACCAGATCTTAGGGTTTTGCTGAAAAGGGGTGGCAGTGGGAACTAAGATACGAAGAGAACAGAAGACAGCAGATGCTGGAAAATGCCGTGTGATTGATCAAGCTGGGTGAGGGTGCAAGAGGATCCAGATGAAGCCTGAGGCCAGCAGGCACAGTGGGGCCCAAGGAGACTGGGTAGAGCAGGAGGAGATGTTGGCCCAAGTGACGCTGACACACACTGCAGTCACACTGGGGACCCTTTACCTTTCTTATATGATAGTAATTTTTTTTCCAAATTGAACCCAGTGTGATTGACTATTAGCCCATAATTCATGGCCATAAGGGAGGCTGCAGTGTTGGTCTGGATAAGCGAGGTCTTTGGGATCAGAAGGTAAATCGAGAAGGTTATTATAACTCCCTGCCCTCAGCTCTGGGATCAGAGCCTCTGAGCCACTGGATCAATGCTACTCTTTCTTGTTTTGCACTCAAGAAAATATCAAGGTAGCTATTGTGTGAAGACTTTTCTGAGCACGGTTTTGATCTTGTGCTAAGAATATTCCCAGGAGAAAATAAAACACAGCAAAATGCAAAGATCCATTGCTCTCTGGCTGGAAATGTGGGTGCTGGGCTGATTGCGGAAAGTCCTGACAAGGAGCCTAGGGAGAAGAGCATTCTCCCTGAGATCAGAAGTCCTGCAAAGCTCATGGTGACCCAGTTGTTTTCTTCACTTGTGGTTAACCTTCTCTAAAACTTACTACCTCTCAACAGGAAATTTCCCTTTACCAAAAAAATAGCTACCCATTCATAAGAGGCTGGAGACAAGAGAAATCCTGAATAAACACTCTAACTCATCTAATTCCCACTTTGCCTGCTCTTAATTACTTGTTGTTCTAGGTATATCTTCTTTTATTTGTTCTTAGTTACTTGTTTTTAGTTGATTTTTAAAATCACCAATTTTAGGGCCAGGCATGGTGGCACAAGCCTATAATCCCAGCACTGGGGAGGCTGAGGCAGGAACATTGCTGTGAGTTCAAGCCCAGCCTAGGCCATATAGTGAGTCCAAAGCCAGCCTGAACTACATAGCAAGACCCTATTTCAACCCGCTTCCAAAATCACCAATTTTAGAGATATAGGTAGTGCCTCTACCCTGTGGGTCACGATGGTAACCATAGATGGTCTGAATACACATGTGAAAACCACAGATTACTTCCTATCTCCAATTACCTTTCCTATGCTTCCATCTATCACTATTCCCAATCCCTCCTCTGAAGAGGCAGATTTGAGACTCTCTTGTCTTCCACTTGGCCACCTTGTGAACAAATTCTCTTTCGCAAAGCTCGTTTCAGTCAGAGACAAACTAAATAGCAGGCAAATGGACCTGGTTGGCCATGAAGAGTTTGTGTTTCTATGTTTACATCCTCTGTGCAATCATATACATTACAAATCTGTTGAATGTGTCAACAAATAGTGTTTTGCCATATATATATATATATATATATATATATATATATATATATATATTTTATAATTACCTCTAAAGATTTTTTGTATGCCTGTGTGTGTGTGTGTGGGGGGGTGTTGAACCCAGGACCTTGTAGAAGCTGGGCAAGTGCTCTGCCACTGAGCTACATCCCTAGACCTTTAAATTTTTATTTTGATACAGGGTTTCACTAAATTTTGCAAGCTGGCCTCCAAGTTGTCATCTTCTTACCTTGGCCTCCTTAGTATCTGAGATTATAGGTGTGTGTCACCACACTGGGTATCTCTGAAGATTTTTAACAGGAATGTGAAAATTAACAGGCTGGAAATTTTAACAATGATGTGATGATTTTCTAAACCCAGTTGTTTTCTTACTTTTTCTACCTTTCAAAATCACAACATAACTATATACAGACTACTTAGTATTAATGCTTTTTTGCTGTCAAATACATTACAATAGACACAAGGTAGATTTTAGATTTTTGTGAATACAGACAGGATGTTTAGGAGCTTGAGAAAAAAATTCAAGAAAGATTCACTTCGTGGATTGGGATCAAATGCAGGTTTCATGAGAAAACATAAAGAATCTTTAATCCACAAGTTTTCTTAAAAAAAATTAGTATCATATTTCATTAATGATGGAAACTGATCATGTCTACATTCTTCCTTTCCCTTTTTACCAATTAATAAGACAGAATACAGTATATTCCACCTGTCATTCCTTCTTTCAGCCCAATTCTTATTATTATCATGAAGGCACAGTACTAAATAATAACCACTGATGGAAGTTTCTGGAAGGATGAAGAGACTGAACGTACGGCACAGCACATGGCCAAAGGATCTCCATGGGGAAATCTGTGGGGTCTCTTTTACACAATTTTGACAAGAACTTCACTCTTCAAAAAGAAATTCTGGACTGGACAGTTGCACCATTAGGATCACTTTTTAAAAAAATTTTATTTTAAGGAGAAAACAAAAACAAAACAACAAAAAATAATAAAAACAATGCAGAATTTCAAAACAACGTGATAAGAAATTAACAATAGTTGTTGTATTACATATTGTTATCTTCAAAGTAGTTGCTCAGATCACCAGACATACACATGCAAGATTGATAAAACAATTGAGAATTAACTGTTCCTTTCAACAGACCAATAGAAATCAATAGTACAGTTATAGGATCACTTATGTTCTGAGTGTTTTTTTTCTTTTTTGTGCTAGGAACTGCCTTGCAGTATCACTGTAAAAAAAAAAAAAAAAGAAGCAAAGGATGCCATTGCCTCGGGATTTAGCAAAAGGCCAGAATTCAACCCCTCCCCTTCTCTATTCATTTGGTGCTAAGGATTGAGCCCACAGCCACCTTGTTTATGCTAAGGATGTGCCCCACCTCTGAGTTATATCCTAGCCCTAAATTTTTCTAATGTCTACAGTGGTGCTATTAATGTCAATCAGTATCTACTGAAGAAAATGGGGCTCTCATCCAGACTCCCACATTTAGGTGTTTCTGGGAGATTCTTGGACCACAGTGGGACCTCAGTACTGCACAATGGGTTCTCAGGGCCAGATTAGGGATGAGAGTTTGGTTTGGTGGGATTCTGCAGCCTCTCTAACCATAACTGGGAGTGATTTTTGAGAGCTATCTAGTTGGAACCTTCTCTCATGTGTGAATAATGTTCTTTTTCTTCTTGTTGCATCAGACCAATACATTGGAGTCTTTATTGCCTCCAAATTTCCCGGATAGAGATGAAGAACTTACATATATAGCAAAAGCATACAATGAGCTTAACCATTCCTTATTTCCCAAAACAAAAGGCTCAAAGGATGCTGTGTTAGAAGAGTGGGCTCAGATACAGCCCAGGACAGCGTGGTGCTGGGCTTTGTAGAAGGGTTCTGCCCCACGTGGTGGCACACTCCTGTAATCCCAGCACCCTGGGAGGTTGAGGCAGAAAGAGCTCAGGTTTGAGTCCAACCTGGGCAACTTAGCAATTTAGCAAGAACCTGTCTCAAAATTAAATAAAAAAAATGTGTGTGTGTGTGTGTGTGTGTGTGTGTGTGTGTGTGTGTGTGTGTGTAGCTCAGTGCAAAGGTTTTGGGTTCAGTCTTCACTATCTCTCCTCACACACACACAAATGGATGTAGGTGTAACTTCATTTGGTGAAATGACATGGATGTTTGGGAAGAGAAATATCATACCAATTATGAATTATAATATATTAGCTCTCATTTATTAGAACTTACCATGCTTTGGATATTCTTTCTACTAACTGTTTCATATACTGTTCTTAACCCCAAATCACATCATGATCAATCACACAGCAATTAGTCCTCTGGGTTATTACATTAGCTTCCCCACATCTCTGTGGTTGCTATGTTTATTTCTACTTCACTAATCTTGATGCATACATTTTCTTTATCTAAACCCACTTCAGATTCGTCTTGGAAAGTAATACAAGTTAATGAAGCAAAGATTTGGAATGTTTTCTGGGAAGCAGTGAATTGTTAAGGCTTTATTTTTCTTAAATTCTAAAGAATGGGAGGTTTATTTTTACTTTTTTTCCCTCTAAAATTGACATGTGAGGCCATGTGTAGTGGCTAATGCTTATAATCCCAGTTACTCGGGAGGCTAAAGCAGGAAGATTGCCAATTCAAGACCAGCTCAGGCAACTTAGCAAGACCCTGTCTCAATAAAATAA